CATTAGTAGGCATGGCTGTGATGGCTTCTAAGGGCACACAAGTCAAACGTTTGTTGATTGGCTGCCCTGGAGCCTTTGAAAACACGCCATTAAATCGCTGAACACCGAACTCCAACCCGAACATACAGTGATGTCCTTGTTCGGGTCCGGAGTCCAAAAAACCTAATGTTCGGTTCGCTCAACTCTACCTAGGAACATTCATCAGGACCATAACTCTTCCAATGCAGAACCCCTTGCAAGATGTGGAAATCAAGGAGAGACTGAACAACATTTTAAGTATGAGAGACAGCTGAAACAGCAGCAGTCCGTGGCACAGACTGGATACATTTATTTAAAAGTAAGGGTTTCCAGAGGGATATATGAAACGTATTAGGGATACAAAGAGACTTAGGCAGATCCAAAGCATAAGAGACTGAAGTAATCCACCAATGAACGCTATAAATCCCAATGTATTGTGGAGCAAATTTCCTGGAGGAAACTGTGAAGCGTATGGTTTTTTTGTGCATAACCAAACTCTATCACCAGGTAAATAAGATGGAGCTGGAGCCCGAAAGCAAACAGCAAAAGTTTTCTTGGACATGGCTCTTTGAAAGAAGGTGTTCTGAACTTGCTTCCACATAACACGTAAAGTAGTGAGGTGTATATCCAATACAAGTATTCCCTTTTCAGAAAATACACCAGGAAGGACACTAAGTTGTACACCATAAGCCACAAGTAATATATTTTGTCCAGTGGAAGCATTAGGAGTGGAGTTTGTAGCAAACTCAGCCCATGTGAGCAGGCCAGGCTAAATTTCCTGATACTCATATGTAAAACAGTGCAAGTACCTCTCCAGCGATAAGTTAGCTTATTTAGCAGCTCCATATGTCTAAGGGTGATATGCAAATGGAAATTGAAGTTGGATACCAATCTCAGAGGAAAATCTTCTCCAGAATCTGGAAATAAATTGGGATTCCCATGTCAAAGACTATTTCTAGAGGAATTCTTTCCAACATGAATTCTACCCCCAAATGAAAATTGAAGTTGGATACCAATCTCAGAGGAAAATGTTCTCCAGAATCTGGAAATAAACTGGGATCACCATGTCTAGAGGAATTCTATCCAACCTGAATATCTCTTTTGCAGATATTTTTTTACCAAGAGTTCAGCAGTGGGTAATTTCCTAATAGGAATAAAGTGGGCCATTTTTGTAAACCTGTCAACCACCATTAGGATAACTGTGTTACCTTCAGAAGGTGGCATCTCAACAATAAAGTCAATAAACTGAGTCCAGGGCATTTGGGGATTGGGCAATAGCATGAGTAAAACAGCTGGTTTGTGATTAACTGATTTAGACTGAGCACAAGAGGTATTATCCTGAATAAACTAAATAATTTCCTTTTTTTTTAAATAAAGGACACCATAATAATTAGGTTTTATTAATACCAGGACATCCAGCAGTTTTAGTCTTGTGATACAATGATAAAATGTTTAGCCTATCCTTTTCCAAGATGTATAATTTATCAGGGGGACTTTTTGTGGGTGTTTGATCTTTGTATTATTTTATCCTGTTAAGCAATTCTGAGTATACAATAATATGTGTGGCTGCAGTAATGTCAGGAGGAGATACGATAGGGTCTGGATCTTTGTCAACCTACATAGGTTCAAACTGTCTGGTCAATGCACCTGCTTTGGTATTTGCAATGCCCCAGAATATATGTCATCACATAATTAAAACATGACAAGAAAAATGACCAACAAACTCATCTAGAAGACAGACTCTTAGCTTTAGCAAAACATGATACATTTTTTTGATCATTTAATAATAGTATGGAGTACTTTGATCCTTACAATAAGTGCCCACATTCTTTAAATATCAAGAATATAGCCAAAAGTTATATCGTTTATTTTTTTTAGAATTTGTCATTTTTTAGAATAAAAACAACATGGATGTAATGAGTCTTCTGGTTTCTTTCTTTGAGAATAAACTACACCTACACCAGATTCTAAGGTATCTACTTCTATGATAAAGGGTAATGATATGTCAGGGTTTACCAAAACTGAAGCTATGGAAAAAGTGTTTTATAATGCTCACAAGTCCAATTATGAGTGTTGGTACCCTTTTTTGTCATTTGCGTTATTGTAGAAAAGTGATTTATTAATTTTATATAATAATTAGAAAGAAGCCATAAACTTCATGCTTAGTATGCTGTTTCAGAGATCAAACACTATAGGAATTGAACTGACTTTTGGTCAAAGAAGCACTTTTACCGTTTGCGTAATAGACTGTCTTTAAAAAGCCTAGTCAGTTTACTATCCTGACATGTTGATGAGAGTGGAGGTCCGAAAAATTTATCAAAATTTCATATAAATAAACTTTGCACATATGGGTAATATTTCTTGCAGTATATCATTTATGAAATTGTTGAAGACTGCCAGGGCATTGGATAATCCAAAAGGCATGACTAGATATTCCTAATGCCCGCTACCAGTATTAAAGGCAGTCTTCCATTCATCTTTCTCTTATCACCAGAGTTTAAGCCCCTCCAAGATCAAGTTTTGTGAAAAACTTTAATCCTTTAATCAGATCAAATAATTAAGTTATAACAGCAATAGAATAGGCGATATGGAAAGTATTGCGATTCAAACCCCTATATATACACACGGTCTCAAATCTCCTGGGTTTTTTTTAATAAAAAAAAATGCTGCTCCAGCTGGACATGAGGATCTTCTGATTAAGCGCTTAGCCAGTTACCTCCTAATATATTCCTCCATTATAATATTCTGAGAGCGGATATACTCTACCTTTTGTGGCATAGTACCTGAAAATAGATCTATTGCATTATCATAAGGACGATGTGTAGATAGTCTATCAGCCTCTTTTGTTTCAAATACTTCCCATAAGTCAGCATACTGTGAAGGTATGGAAGTAGAAAAAGGAGCAGGATGTACACAATGTACTGGCATAAGGCAGTTCTCTTGATAACCGTTTCCCCATGAAAATATCTCTGATATCTCCCAATCTATGACAGGGTTATGTTTAGCCAACCAAGGAAAACCCAATTTCGTAGCACCTAGTAGCATATTTTTAGGTGGAGGTTATCACAACACTCCTTAGTTGGTTTGCCCTCATGCAGTACCCACATTTACCACTATTTTTGTTTGGCACTGTTCCTAATTTCTTTTCATTAAACACTTCACCTGGTCCTTGTTTAGCACATTTATAATTTGGTTTCTCACCTCACTCCTGGCCAGATCATTGTCTCTTGTCTCCTGTTTCCCTGTGATTCTGGCTCCTGGCTCCTTGATCATGCATACTGTTCCATGGTCTTGTGTCCTGCACCTCCTGGTCTTCGTTCTTGTGTTCTCTTGGTCTTTGTCCTGTGTCCTCCTGATCCTGCGTTACTGTGTCTTCCTGGTCCTTCGTTCCTGTGCCCTCTGATCCTGTGTTCTGGTTCCGTGCTCTCTGCTTTATTACCAGTGATCCTGACCCTGCAGCCTTGTTCATTTATTCTGCTTCTGACCTTGCTTCCTGGTGTCAGTATAATAGTGTTGTGACTCTAGATCTGTGCCCTACCTACTACTCATGGTAACTGCACAATCCTGCCCTTATACCAGAGGACTGTTTCAGTATACGTTGCCTGCACTATTCATGCTTATCCTGATTTATTGTATATATTTTGTGGCATTGTGTATATATATTGTTTTGTTTTGTCTTTTGGTTCTCTGTAATATATATATATATATATATATATATATATATATATATATATATCTTGATTTACCCTATTCATTTGTGTATTGGTATTTATTTCTTTCCTGTATTGGTTCCCACATTTAAAGTGACAGTGCTGTTCCAGGGCAGCACCCCTTCATGTCATTACAGAGGTAAAGCAAGGAGTTCAGTAGTGGGTGCATTTAATACCAGATGAGTATACATGTATCTTTGTCTCTCCTTTTGTGTATATCTCATAGGTCCTACGGAAAGAAGCATGAAATTCAGGATAGTTATATACCATATTTGTATTAGACTTCAAAATAGGCTTTTCCCAAGCCAGTGCTCTGTCTGAAAGATGGTTGATGAGAAGCTCAATTTTAGATCTGTTCATAGGGTACGAACATGGATTAAATTCAAAATGTGTGTCAACCTTGTTTAGGAAACCACACTATGACATAGGATCCCCACTGTAACACTGTGGAGGAGTCATAGGTACCTTTCACGATTTGGATTATTCTCAGTCTGCTGCAGTGCCACTACCTATCTGTGGTGCTATTCCAGGCTTCTGCACCCAGAATGAGATTTTTTTTTTGTTTCCAGCAGGCCTTACTTTCTAATAATGTCTCCCTATTTAGTTGAGCCTCATCCTTTTTTGTTTGCCAGTTCATTAATGTTTATTGGTGGTCTGCTCCTTTTATCCTGATTTCCTAGCTGGCTGTCCCCTTGTGTTCCTGAACTGCCTGTCCTGTATCCAGAGGCCTGCCCTGTCTTGCATGTCCTGTACCCAGAGGCCTGCCTGCCTTTCTTGTTTGTTAATGTTTGTTGGTGGTCTGGTCCTTTTATCCTGAGTTCTTGTGCTAGCTAGCTGGTCCCCTGTGTACCTGAACTGGCTGCCCCCCTGTGTTCCTGAACTGCCTGTCCTGTATCCAGAGCCCTGACCTGCCTTGTCTGTCGTGTATCCAGAGAGGCCTGACCTGCCTTGCTTTTTTTACTGAGGCCCTCCTGCTTCACTCAGTTATCTGTTGTGTTTTTATTTTATTTAACTGCCTTACTTAAATATCAATACACTTATTGTTTACCTTGATTTGTGTGTATATTGATTTCTTTGTATTCTGGGTTCCACCCTATAGAGGTTGCTGCACTGGTCAGCACCCCTTCCTGACAAAACGCCGACAGTACCAGAGGTTGGTAGTTATCAGCCACATGGGTTTTACTAACAGGAGCTGGAGCATTAGCTTTATCCTTTGGGTGCAAGACCTAGGCAAACTGATCCATACGGTGATCAAAATCAACCATACTTAAGGTGGACCCGAGCCCGACAAGCATACCAGTCACCTCTTCCGACACTGGGGCACAGAAACCCACACCGTCCTGCTGTGCTGTAGAAAGGCAGGATACCCAAGGCGGGCAACAGCAAAATAAAATGACAACCTGGGCAACCAATTATACCAGGGACATTTTACCGCCCAACAGCACCCTCCTGGATCTTCCTGAACTTGGGAATCGGCTGACTGGTGACTATGATAGGGACAGGCCCGCTGCATAATGTTTGAGCCCCTTACATTTCAGACAACCACCAGCAAATCTGATTTAAAACTGACCCTCTTTTATGTGACATATTTTTATGATTTTTATGTTTTCTCTTTATGTTTTCTATACTTCTGTGTCCTCATAACCCTTAGAGTTCATATGCGAGGAGCAGCAGAAAGGAGGCGCTTTAAGCATGGGTTACAACTGCACTAGCGAGGACCTAAAATGTTATGTATGGCAGATAATATAGACTATGCAGATCACACATTTTTAATGTCACAAGCATGCTGAAAGTTCCACATGGTCACTCACCCACACGCAGGACTTAGACATTAAGTAAGACAATAGCGGCAGATTGCTATAGGCAGAGGCGAATTTGGTAGGCCAGCTTATTTTAACCCACTGTTGTCTCTGTACACACGTGTGGCCATCTGGGAATCCAGGCCACCTTTTATTTGGAGCTTAACCCCCTTGCTGCCGCCTCTGAGTCCTATATCACCACGATATACCAGCCACTAACCTAAGACCTCCCTGGGTTCACACTCATGTATCCAATAGTTAGTACTATTTTTGCTGCGTGAACATTATAAATCTTTGCAACAGCCTTACTAGACACGCTTAATTCACACATTCTGAGCAGTATCCATGAAACACATGCTACAGCTATAGGATAACTCTACACAGTGGTGTATCCTGGTTTTGTGCTGCCCTAGGCAGGACAAAACTCAGGCGCCCCCCTCCCCCCCGCGCCACCCCCACCCAACCCTTCCCCCCGCCCCACCTTCTAAATACACACACACACAGTCAGACACATACACAAACACACACACACACAGTCAGACACATACACAAACACACACACAGTCAGACACATACACAAACACAATGTGAAAGAAAAAAGTGAACTTAGTGGATCGTACTACCACCAAAAGATCACTCAGTGGAGCGCTAAATATCAAATTCTTACCCCTATTGGAATAACGTATATATCACTTTAAGGGGCAGACAGCATAATAAAATCTACAACAAGAAAATACACATCATGGTGCAGTATGCTTGAAAGGTGTGAATGGAGTGGAAGAAGATGTATGTCCAACTCACATGGTAAAGAGCCTGGAGATTGGCTCAAATCACAACAGCTGAGGTATGTTTGGTAATACCAGACCTTCTCCAGATATACAGCTCACAACATATGTAGATAAAAAAGGACAAAAATCCTAGTGCAAGTATGTTTAAAATAAACAAGTGGTCACATATAACAATGCATGAATGTGCTCACCTGGAATAGAGCCAATTGTACTAGGCTCTATGTATAAGCGTGTGGTGCCTTTAAGGGAGGCACTACCCTTCTTTAGAAAATGCAGGAAGCAGTTGAAGATCCACTACCAGATGTATAAGGTAAAAGTAACAATTTATTAAAAAGAAAAAAACCAATTAAGCAAAGTAAAACTGTATATACAGATACCAAAAAGTAAAAGTCTCTGGGGTGGTCTTCCTTGGAGTTCCGAGACGCGTTTTCGCCGTGGGGCTTTCTCAATTCCGATTGAGAAAGCCCCACGGCGAAAACGCGTCTCGGAACTCCAAGGAAGACCACCCCAGAGACTTTTACTTTTTGGTATCTGTATATACAGTTTTACTTTGCTTAATTGGTTTTTTTCTTTTTAATAAATTGTTACTTTTACCTTATACATCTGGTAGTGGATCTTCAACTGCTTCCTGCATTTTCTAAAGAAGGGTAGTGCCTCCCTTAAAGGCACCACACGCTTATACATAGAGCCTAGTACAATTGGCTCTATTCCAGGTGAGCACATTCATGCATTGTTATATGTGACCACTTGTTTATTTTAAACATACTTGCACTAGGATTTTTGTCCTTTTTTATCCACATATGTTGTGAGCTGTATATCTGGAGAAGGTCTGGTATTACCAAACATACCTCAGCTGTTGTGATTTGAGCCAATCTCCAGGCTCTTTACCATGTGAGTTGGACATACATCTTCTTCCACTCCATTCACACCTTACAAGCATACTGCACCATGATGTGTATTTTCTTGTTGTAGATTTTATTATGCTGTCTGCCCCTTAAAGTGATATATACATTATTCCAATAGGGGTAAGAATTTGATATTTAGCGCTCCACTGAGTGATCTTTTGGTGGTAGTACGATCCACTAAGTTCACTTTTTTCTTTCACATTGTGTTTGTGTAGGATTGGGATACCTGCATGCGTGTTTGAGCTGCTGTTCTATTTATATATTATTGTTAAGCGCCTAATTGCACAGAGCACCTTTTTCACATACACAAACACACACACACACACAGTCAGACACAGACACAGTCAGACACAAACACACACACACACACACAGTCAGACACACACACACACACACACACATACACAGTCAGACACAAACACACACACACAGTCAGACACACACAGTCAGACACAAACACACACACAAACACACACAGACACACACAGTCACATACACACACACAGTCAGACACAAACACACACACACAGTCAGACACATACACAGACACAAACACAGTCAGACACAAACACACACACACACAGTCAGACACATACACAGACACAAACACACACACACACTCACAAACACACACACAGTCAGACACAAACACACACACAGTCAGACACAAACACACACACAGTCAGACACAAACACACACACACACACACACACATTAACTTTTTTTTTATTTAAATCCCCCCCCAACCTCCTTACCTTTGGGAGTGCTGGGGGGGGGGGGGTCTCTCTCCCTGGTGGTCCAGTGGCTGCAGGGCGGGCGGCGCTGGCGGGTGGGCGGCCGGCGAGGGAGCACTTCCCATGAGCTGACTGCTCAGCTCCCTCGCGCGTCGGCTGCAGAGTGAGGCTGGGAACCGGAAGATGACGTCATCTTCCGGCTCCCAGCCTCACTTTGCGGTGCGTGAGGGAGCTGAGCAGTCAGCTCATGGAAAGTGCTCCCTCGCCGGCCGCCCGGGATGTCAGTTAGCCGCGAGGCTAACAAGGCATCTGCCCTGGGCATTTGGGGGGCGGCGTTTTTTGCCGCCCCCTGAAAAATGCCGCCCAAGGCAAATGCCTTGTTTGCCTCGCGGTTAATACGTCCCTGACTCTACACAATACTGCCCTGTGTAACCACAACGTCAACCGCACACTCAGCTATGCCTCACGCAGAGTGCTCTAGTCCATCTACACACAGTGGTACTAGGCTTACCCTTAGCATTACTATCCCTTTGACCTTTCAAACCAAAGTTATACTTGTTCTAACATACTGTTACCAAGCAGGTTCTGAGATATTAAAATAGATAAAATGTAAGGCTAAAAAATATAAACAAATACAGAAGAGGTGCTCCTATCACCTTATGTGAGTCACTCAAAACACATATAAATAACAATTATACAATAAAAGATAGGTGAGGGCACACTAAATGAAATAACACCATACAAATTACCCTTAAGTCTGAAATAAAATCCGTGCTTGGCTCACTCCTGTATATAAAATATAAAAACAGGAAAAAACATACATAGGGTAATAATGTCAAACCTATTTGGATTAAAACTTGATAAGGTTTCACTCACATGGTCATGAGCCACTTAACGTAAGCTGGCTCAGACTATAGGCATGGATAATATCCGTACGTGGTACTTCACACACCAGGCTGCTCCCCCTTCGTCGTCTTGCTGATTAATTAAAATATTCCAGGATGCAAGGAATAAAATAACAAATTATTGGACACACTGCAAAATGGGAGTAAAAACAAACACTGGATACAATATAATGATAAGTCCACTATATAAATGAAACTTGACACGTTTCGGCCTGGGCCTTTATCAAAAGTCTATTTTTCTTGTTTCTTCTCAATCTTTAAATACATCCGGTTTGGCGCCTTTTTTCGGCTTTTGCGCCTTTTTCCTGTGCTCTTCCGGTATATGGGCGGCATCCTACGTCCTGACCTTTCACTTCCGGTTTGCGTCATGACGCAGCTTTCGGTCCCCGCGTCATGAAGCGACTTCCGGTTCCTTCGTCATGACGTAACATCCGGTCCCCACGCCATGACGGTCTTCCGGTTTCGGCGAGCTCATTCTAAAAACTGCCAGTACTAAAAATTTCCTTTTCGGCAGTTTATATAGGTAGATAGTTTATTGTACAGACTTATCTTATATGTAAACTTTTTCCTAAATTTTATAAAAAGTAAACATCTTTAAAAAAAAAAACAAATACAAAAAAACTTTTCTTTCTCAGTAATTCCTTTTAAAACCTTTTAAAACATTTTAAACATTTAACTCTTAAACAAGGGAAAAATATTTACCATTTTTTCTCACAATTAAAGCGGTATTAGACATTAAAAGCAATTTACATAAAAAGGGAGAGAGAAAAAGATATATAAATTAATCATTTAATAAAAACAACTTTATGTACAATAAGACAGCATATTAGAGAGTGAGACATTTTAGTATTCATTTAGATCAACCCATATAAAAAGGTGATAAATTATATAAAAAATAGTAAAAAAATATAAAAAAGTTAGAAAAATATATGAAAATCTAAAAACACCTTAAGATGCATTTTCTTATATAAAGAATATATATTTTTAGATCTGAGAAAAAAAAGGTAAATAGAAAATGCAAATAAAAATGTAAATAAATATAAATATAAACCAGTGGCTAAACATTTTTTAGCTATGCAGCACCATTTACCCACATTTAAATTTATTTGTATTGATCACGTTCCTCCGTTGGAAAGAGGAGGTGATCGTTCTAAAATCCTTTTGCAACGGGAGGCTTACTGGATACACCATCTAGATACAGTAACCCCCAAAGGTTTAAATGAAAATATCGTATATTCTATGTTTTTGTAATTTATGTATATATTTTCATATACGTATTTTCAGGACGTATTGTCATTTCTCATCTGTTTGCTTTAACTCTACCTGTGATTACTATGTATGCAGGATATATGAATTATACGTTATATTCAGTACCTTTTGAGA